ATCAACCAAAAAGAATAGAAAATGCAAAGATCCTTATTGCAAACACACCAATGGATGCAGATAAAATCAAGGTGAGTTATTGAAATATTTTTTTGGAAAAATGTAGAATTAATGAGCTTTTGGGAAGAGGTTTGTCGTTGTGTGTACCAATGTGAACTATTTAGTTGTCTTCCAACAGGTATTTGGTTCCCGAGTGAGGGTGGAATCAACTGCAAAGATAGCAGAATTAGAGCTTGCTGAAAAGGTTAGTTTTGTGTTTGGTGGTCCAGTTTTTGCATGGATGACTGTAGTGATCTTTCCATGTACTGTGTTTATTTATTTTTTTTTTAATATTTCAGAGTTCAAATGTTGTGACTGAATTTTTATAAATATATTGAATGGAGATTGTTGAGATGACATGTTGCTATTTGCTCTTCAGCATAAGATGAAAGAAAAAGTGGACATGATTCTCAAGCATGATATTTCTTGTTTTATTAATAGGTGAGCATACACATGTACAAAAGAACATATACAGCCAGTTTTTATGGATTGTTAGTTTTAGTATAATGCAAAACTGTTACAAACTTTCCGTTGAAGAGAGCGAAAGTGATAACTAGTATGAAAGATGAACTTATTGAGTTTCCTTTTTCTTAGACAACTTATCTATAACTATCCAGAGCAGTTATTTGCTGATGCTGGTGTCATGGCAATTGAACATGCTGACTTTGAAGGTGTTGAGAGATTAGCCTTGGTATTAGGTAGGAAAACCTCAGTAATTTCTTTTGTTAAACTGTTACTGCTTCTCTTGTGCTGTACCGGAAAACTACAGAAGTCAATTTATAAATTGTCAAGGAAATTTTATGGGTGATTTATTTTTCAATATGTTTTTAGGTGGAGAAATTGTATCAACATTTGGCCGTCCAGAGCTTGTGATGCTTGGCGAGTGTAAAGTGATTGAGGAGGTTATGATTGGTGAGGACCAGGTAAGATTTGTTGATCTGGCTCTGGTTGTTCGAAGGATGGATAATGCTATTCACTGGATAAAATCTCTATCCGGATCCGGTAGATAGCGCAGTACTTTTTGTTAACGCTTATCTGCTGGATAGCGATTTATCCGCTGGATAGTGTTATCCGCTCTATGAACAACTGGGCCCAGGTTTTTAGTTGCAAGAAGTCACTTTTTAATACTGTAACAGTCTTTTGAAATGCAAAGTATAATGTGGATCATTTGCTCATAGAAAAAAGAAGATGAATGTAACTCACCCACAATGCCAGAACTAAATGGACTATTATTTGGAACTCACTTGAAATAATGAACCCAATATCAATAAGTAATCTATTTTACTGTTGTGAATCATCTTGCCTTAAAGCTCACCAACTTACTTCACCTAACTATACATTTGACTGTAAAAAGGATATTTTCATTTGACCATTCAATTGATTCCTCAGAGTTCATTTTTAATAATTTTTGTCAGCCAGCAGCAGAACCATTTTCAGGACATTCTGTCCCTAAACAGTAAAATGAACCTCTCTTTAAATGGAGAAATGAGTATGTCAATCAAGCCTGACAAAAAGTGGACCTTGCGGTCAGTAGTGTTTTTTTCAACAAAAAAGGATGAGCATTATACTCTGTTCCTTACACTTATTTGTTTTATTATTTTATTTTCATCATAGTTGCTCCATTTTTCTGGCTGTAAGCTTAATGAGGCCTGCACCATAGTAATCAGAGGTGCCACCCAGCAGATCCTGGATGAAGCAGATCGGTCGCTTCATGATGCACTGTGTGTTCTCACACAAACTATCAAGGAAACAAGAACAGTGTGTGGAGGAGGTGGGATCAGCTAAGTCATGTATCTTCTGTGCAAAGTCTTTGTTATGGCTTCTTGCGGAGTAAACTAGTCAGTGTAAAAGTTTGCATGGTGCTTGGTTCTACCGGTGCTTGTACACTGTAAATTGTCTGCCCTTGATACTGTGCTGAAAACCACACATAGCCTTCCCATGCCTTCTAGAAATCTTCTCTTAACAAATCTCCAATAAATTTACTGTCCTGACGATAATAGTTTTCTTTAATGATAGCAACATCTTGAAATACTGAAAATAGAGATGGTTTGTCTTCATTGTCTTTGCTTGTTTCAATGGTTGTGTTGCTTAACATAGCTTCTTGTAAGCGTTCGTCTTGGTTTGTGCATCTTGAAAAAACTAGAGCCTTAACTTCTGTCTTTACAATAGACATTTACCTTTCTCTTGCATGTCCTCTTAGGTGCTTCAGAAATGTTGATGGCCAATGCAGTTTCACAGCTGGCTGCAAAGACTCCTGGTAAAGAAGCTGCAGCTTTAGAAGCTTTTGCAGCTGCACTGAGACAGGTAAAATAGATTTACATGTATATAGCTTGATAAAAACTGTATTAGCTGCGAAATATTTCCAAATTCACACTCTTGAAAATGTAGTCTCAAGTAAAAAGTGGTGCATGCAAGGGAATGGTGTTGGTGATTGCGGGGGGGAGGGGGGCGAAGAAACGCGGCGGATTTACGCGTCTGCTCTTTTGCTCGTTTCCGCTGACTCAGAGCCTGTTATAGACTGGTAGGGGTCACGCATAATTTTACGTTACCTCGGTAGCAGAAGCCGCCCTGTAATATCACATCTACCGGTACTTACATTGATATAATGTGCAGTGTGTTCATGTATTGTTCTGTCATTAGCTACCGACCGTCATAGCTGACAATGCAGGTTATGACAGCGCTGATTTGGTCGCAAAACTTCGAGCAGCTCACACAGAAGGAAAGAAAACGTACGGCCTGGGTGAGTAGTACTTGCTTCTGCGTTGAAACGTTCGATAATACACGTACTCTCCCCCTGTTTTTACCTTCATATCATGTCCAGTGACCTAATTTTGTGCAATTGCCCTCTTCCACCTATGGTCAGCAATAGAACTCCCTTTGGTTGTTTATGAATTTCCTCCTGTAGTTGGATTCACAATTGATTGTTAACCTGAGGCGTCTATCAATTTAACCAGAGGGTTCAGTTCTCCTCTAAGCATGGCTGTAGAGTTTAAACGGTGAAACAGCAGATATCAGCTTATTGTCTGGGAGTTAGTGCCTTAGTCAAATTAATTTTTAAACAAGAAACAAAAACCAAAAAAACCGCAGAATTGCAGAATCATCATGTTGCGAACATTAACTCAGCTTCGTCCTTTGAAAATGACCATTTCTACAACGACCAGTAATTTCTATAATTTATAATCACACCGGGGTGTATTCCAGCAAAAGTGGAGCAGAATTATTGAAGAACACAAGCACAGAGTTAGAGAAATTTGTCCTATTGTGTTTCAGACATGAATCAGGGCAGCATCGGGGACATGGCTGAGATGGGTATCACCGAGTCCTACCAGGTCAAGAAACAAGTTCTTGCATCAGCAGCAGAAGCAGCTGAAATGATTGTTAGGGTTGATAACATCGTCAAGGCCGCTCCACGGTAATAACTTGTCCGATTTTCTCCGTTTTTGCCCCGTTAACACTGTCGAAATATTTCCAGTTCATGAAAATGTGTAGTCGAGTTGACGTTTTCTCTCCTCCCGAGTTTGGTCCTGTCACATTGATCGCTGACAGCCGATTACCTCTTTCAGTGTAACATTATGAGTTCGATCTATTTCAGCTAATGAATGGGTCGATTAAAAGTGTTGGAACATAACGATGACTTTGTTCGAGTAAAATGACGATACATCTGAGTTTATTACGTCTTCATGTGGATTTTCTTGTTTTATTCACAGGCCCAGGAGAGATGACCACCCTCATCCATAGATGTTGTACCAAAAAAGAGTCGAATTCCCCCTCCAACTTGACAGAGATGGACTAAATTATATCTGTATGCGCACATGATGATTCTGTTTTTAAAATGGTGCCAACTTGCGACAATGTTGCATCACTGTGTTTAATGTGGGTACAAGAACGCTACTCTGGTGGGACAAACGGCATCTAAAGAAGAGACGTTTCTAGCGGACTGAGTGTATTTTATGTTATTTCTCTTTCTGTGTGAAAGATTCGTATGTTCCTGAACTGTGAATCGTATCATAACATAACCAACTCACTTTCAAATTAGTATGCTCCCTGTTGCTTCTTCACAAAGTAAAGTAGAATATAAAGCAATAAAAATGATAAAAATTCATGGTGAAGATTGTTACTGTAAATGACCCTCCACCCCCCATACTCTGTGGGCATGCGGCGCCTTAACACAGCCTCTTTTTTCTAAGTGTGGCTTGCTTACTGCAAGTCAGTTGAGTGACTGACAGCAGTAAAAAACACGCATATTGCACAGTGCGTCTAAAATTCCGCAAAATCCTTGCCTAGTCCTGCTATGTTTGATTCGTTGCCAATTAAAAAATGTTCGCTGAAACGGGGGTAAACATCCACCACTCATACTGAGGAGAATAACTGTTTCGGTCCACATCAGACATAAACCAAAGGATTTAGTTTAAGTTTGTCATAACAGTGAAATATTGTCAGAAATTGACCCTTTAACCCATAAGAGTAATAAGCATCTAATTTTTCCAAACATTGCCAATCCTGAATCAAATATAATCAATTAAAGGTTACGAGAATAAAGGAAATGGTTGCGATCTCAAGAAGCTCTTGTGTGTTGGGCAAATTCCCCTTGAAGTACAATAGCTAACTTGCATACTGAAGTAACGGTGTAAAGGTTTAAACTTTTGACTCAAAATATGGTTTCTTCGGTTGCTCTGAGGAGAATGGTCTTCACAAAGCACTTGCGAATAAGCCAATCAGCGAGCGCAAAATGCACTATTCACTGCTGTGATACATGGGCACTGGTTTAGGTGTGCATAGCTCCGAGTTCTGCCGCCGGTGCTATCAAACATCAAAGTGTATCTAAACTTTGCTCAGCCCTCCAACTTCTTTCTCCTCTCTCAGCTAAACTTTTAGATGAGATTTCAGTCTTACTAAACAAAGGAAAGAGACGAAACTTACACTGAGAGCTGGACTGCAAAATTAGTTACAATTGAGATACACAGACTTTATTGTTTGTTCTTATTTACATTTAATAAATTTCTTTCAAAATATATGTTTGAGGCATGAAGGGGGGACTAAAATTAACTGTATATGCGTGGACATGTTAACTGTAGGCCAGGTGCAGTCTCTTTGATTCCGTAATGTCAATTTTTCATCCTCTGTGTGAAAGTTTGCCAGTTAAGATGCATCGATAGATTTTTTTTAGGGTCGCCGGTGTTTCATTTTCCTCTGGACAATTCAGAGTATGACCTACTACTTCCTTGTTGGTTTTTTGAAATTCCCTGAGTTAAAAGCTCCCTATAGAAGAAGGATTTGTGTGAGGCCAGCTATTACTGAAGAATTCCTGTGATTCGAAGTTGAACGTCGTTCTTTCCACTCAAGTGTTCCTTGTTAATCCTTTAAAGTTGTTTTGCCATTCTCCTGAGATGGTGTTTCGCCGCTTTCCTATGCGATCTTTGAAGAATTCTTTTGATGAAGATCTTTGATTGTCTATTGTTTGCACACTTGCTACATTTTTTGTGATTCTTGTACCAGCATCTGTGTTGTCGAGAAATAAACGACTTCTTTAGCCAAAATTATTGTAACGCATGTTCAAAATAGAAAAAGGGCTTCGACGACGTTAATTTTAAATCAGCTGACACTGTAACTTGTGGTACAAGGACTGTGTCACTTGAACAGTGCAATAGTGAACATTCTAGAACAAGTGAAGGTGTAGTCTGATCGTCCGGGTGAGTGTAGTCCTGAGAAGGACTACACTCACTACCACCGACAACAGTCCTTCTCAGGACTACACTCACTACCACCGACAACAGTCCTAGTCAGGACTACACTCACCCGGACGATCAGACTACACCTTCACATGTTACCCCCGGGTTCAAACCATTTACTGCATTCTAGAACAAGATAATTTGGATATATCAACAAAGTTGAAATGGTAAATTGGCCACCGTAACGATTACTAAAGCTGACGTTTCGAGCGTTAGCCCTTCGTCGGAGCGAATGGAAACTATCAGCCTTTATTCTAGAACAAGACCGTCCTCGACCAGAGAGAAAATTTGTATGATTCCAAAGAAACATTGTCATGATAAGAATACCATAGTAATGATAATGCTGGGAGTTGACACTTTGTGAGTGGAGCATTGTCCAAGCACAATCTCCATTTTTTTTTTTTTAGCCTGATCGTGAATTCATGTTAGGATTTGTTTTATTAAGCGGTAGGGAGGATGGGGTACGTAGAAGTCGTTGTAGTTTAATTTAAACTTGTGATAGCCAAACTAGACAGTGGTTTTCATACTCACGGTGGTGTGTGACAGCACTTTCGACAGAACTCCCTCCGACTGTGATGAAAATGTGTTGATTTTGCCTCAGTTATTGAAGTAGAATTCGCTGTCTGTGTGATGTTTTCCTTATGTTTGGGTGCGGATTCTCGAAGGTTTTCTACAGGATCAGTAGCAATCTCTGTGGATGACTTATCTGAAAGAAAGTCAGTCAAAGAAGATAGTTGGAGTGGAGAGGAAAAGATCCTTTGATAAAAAAATTTCTTGCTATATATCCCCATCCAACCGGGCTTCGTTCACTGAATTTCTTCACCTCTAACTTAGCTCTCTCACATAAATCTTTCGGTTTGATAGAAGCTCAGGTTGGCAGAGGGGAATAAATTAGCATTGGTGTTAATAATTAACCTCTTTCTCTCCCGGAGAGAAAGACTCGATTCGAGGCTAGGTTTAAGGCCATAACAACAACAAAGACTTAGATTGCAGTCCGAGTGACGATAAACAGAAAACTCTCGTCGGATGAAAAGCAGACAAGAACTGCCCTGGAGAGTATTTGTCAATCAACATTTCATTTCTAGAGGAGAAGGAATCTAGAGATGACTGAGGTGCGCGAAAAATTAAAGACTTAAATACAATAAACTTTTGCAGAAGCCCATGTATTTCTCAGAATATGACGCAGTTTGGTGTCGAACTCGTCTAATGAAAATTGCTAATAAACATATCGGCGAATTTGCTAATAATTAAAAAATTCCATCAGCTTTTCTATCTGTAAAACAAGCAATCGCCATATGGAGCGCCAAATAAAGTAATGCTTTCTAAGACAATAATTAAGGTCAAACCTAGACTGGATGAAACTTCAAAGCTTCAATCACCTTAATGAAAGGAAGAGAATGTATGCCAATAGCTACATAAAAAAATCCGGTACATTCTTTACTCTGCGTTTAAAAACGAGTGACAACACGAAATCATTTCGGCTTATTTGAATATGAATGAGCTTCTATTTAAGGTAAACGTTATTAAATTTTGTTAACGTATCAACATGTAATAAAAGTATGTCGCCTTGTAAAATAAAGTCACCGGATACAACAGAGTTGGATTTGAAATAATGACTGGGTAGTTAGTTTTTTTTATTTATTATTATTATTTTTTTTTTTACCGTTCAAGTAAATTGATGGATTTTTCATTACTGATAAGTGTACTCGTAATTATCCACTTCTCGTCATTAAGGTGACATGATTACCACGAAATCTATCGGCCGAGTCACGTTCGAAGGTGTGGAATTGTTTTACGTAAACAGACGTTGAAGCAATTAAACGTAAACACTTAGACTGTTTTCTTTTTCGTACTCTAGTTAGCTTTCACTGTAAGCAAAACCGACAGTTACTGCCTCAGTGAACAACATAAGTATTGACACACAACACAATGAAGATCACGGCCAGATCAACCGATTTCAACATGACACAGATATGCAACTTCTTTTTTCAAACTTTGAGGAGAAGAATTCTTTTAATATTCTAGCCACAACTTTCCCTCAGAATATGGCGAAATAACTAACTGTTGACAATTCAAACCGAATAATCATTTATGCAAGAATACGTCAGTTGCTCACGTGCACCAAGCGATTGCTTAAAGGATAAGTTGAAGCGCCATGTTATTACTTCAAAACTGCGTAACTGATGACCAAACGGTACCGTGCAAAACGCACACCAAGATAGCGAAAAAAAACCTTTAAAGCTAAAATCGTGCATCAGGCTTGTTCATTATGGGACAGCAAGTGTTTTGATCGTAATTTATTCTAAACCACTGAATCCTCTTTCCTGAATAATTGGTTCAGTTCCCAGTTATAACGAACAATGAAGCGGTTCAGTTACGGGCGATGATTGCTAAACCTTTCTAACACGAAATAGTTTTTTACATGCACTTGAGGATATGGTAAAAAATAATGCAAGTTCACCGAAAAACTAAACCTCCTTACGAAGACAATTGAAAATGAATAATGATCCATGAGGTTCTTTGCGTGATCGGTCGAAAATAAATGGGAGGAGTTGGAAAGTTTTGGGCCGGAAACGTTCAATTTCTCGATCGTAGCCTGGCATGGGGCTCTTCTACGTACTGTATATTGGATAAGCACGTTTGAAGTAGGCATCCTAAACTCTTCCTGGTAATCACCTATTAAGGAAGGGTGCATGAATGCTATTTTTCGTAACGGATACACTTCAGTGAAAAAACCTAACTTTCTTCTCATATCGCCATATTGTTTTCTTTGATCTGATCGCCGGAGAATAGTTTTGAGATTTTGAGAATGATAAAAGGATGAATTGGTATAAATGAGGGCAGGAAAGTCCTACATGATTGAAAAACAAGATTAAAGTAGCTTGAGCAGAAGGTTATTTATAAAATCAGCTCTCGAGTCGTGATAACTAACCACGGCGAAGTCACGTTCAACGTCCCCTTGTGAAAAACAAGTTTTAAGTTGAAACAAAATTTCCGAAGAAAACGTGTTTTGTTTCCCCACTGAGATAGAATTTAGATTTGAATTATTTCACCATCAATCACGGCTCCAAACTATGTTGGCTCTTCAATGCCGTTTCTAAATTGGGAAATTTTGTATTGGGAAGTCAGAGGGGAGTATGAAACTGTCAAAATTAAATGGATAGAAAGAAAAATCGCCATTAGGCGAGCTGAAACTAATGCATGGAGAACACAATCGAGAAGTCACTCCATTCACACAAATCAACTTCCCAGTCACAGAGAGAGTGGCGATTAATTTTTGGTTTTATGATACTATCGTCATTTTTTTTTTAAAGATAAATAAACGTGATGTACTGTCAAAAATAACATTACTTGCCTCTACTAAGAACGACAACAAGACAAGCCACAACCACCACCAAAGCGATGGAAATTCCTGTACAGAGTGGAAAATAGCTTTTTGACTTGGCCATTATTGTTCAATTTAGTTACAGCCAAAGTGGGAATCCTCGATCTGCTCACTCACCAAACTTCACTGTCTCACTGAATCGTTTCGGGTTGATGCTCGTTTTTAAATCGTCTGTTATCAACATTGTCGTGTGATCGGATGGAGTGTATTGACTGTCTAGCGTGATGAAACCGAGATAGCCTTTGTCTCGATTGAACTATTAAGTACAAAAGGTGGAGTCATTAAAGAATGTTCGTGCTCCGTGCCGCCGGATGTCACGAAAAAAAAAAAACACTACTGATAGGTTCCTGAACAAAATGAAAGTGTGCCGGTCGCCGACACGCAAAGTAGATACCGTGAACATCTTTCATTCAAATGAACTAATTCTAAATTTTAAGCTTCGGCGATAGAGATCACTCGGCCAAATAAACTTTGACTTCACAGGAAAAATTGGTTTTCGATTTATGACTGTAAATTATTCTTATTCTTCATTAGTACTCACAGGAGCCCACTTGTGGTACTCACCATTGAAAGAAGGTAATGAGAATTAGGGAAGTAGCGGAGAAACACACAGAAACACATAACAGTTGTATCTTAGCAGGGGTTTCCATTAAATTTGAGTCAGCGGTCCACCATTGTCGGCTGTTTAGCCTACAAGCAGGCTCTCGGTCCCGCACTCGTGCTGAGCTTTCGACTTGCGGCACAGCCGCTTATTAGAGTCATACTAATACATCGTCGGCAGCCGCTTACGGAAAAAAATCGTATCATCGAAACATCTGATTTTAGAGCGCGAAATAAGAAGTGGGAAAATCATACTTTTGTCTTCGAGCTGATTTGGTTCATTTCCTTTAAATGTTCTCTGAACAAAGTGGGAGGTTTGTTCGTTCCCATGGTCCACTATTATACAGTTGCTGATGACCAAATAGCTTTTTTTAAATAGCAGGCTGCGCTAGCAACGAGCTACTCTGCCTTTTATGGTTTTGAAAGATAAATAAACAGCGAGAGGTGTGCGACTTTCATCCTAAACGGCCTTTCTGAAACTATTGTCCGTGTGTTTTAGTACGTATGATGCACGATCCTCGCAGTAGATAGCGCTATTTAAGCAATAGCGAAAATCAGACCTGAAAAAAATCAGGCCTGTACGGGACTCGAACCACTGACCTCTGCGATACTAGTGCAGCGCTCTTACCAATTGAGCTCGTGTGTTTTAGTCTTAAGTTAGAAGAGACAATGACCATAACCGTCCTCGACATCCAAGGCGAACGTCGCCCAGGGCCCTTAGCTTTCTAGAAGTGCATGCGCCATTTTTGTTTTTCTTTCAGTTCTGCACAAGAAGAAAGCGGAATGATTGACTTTTTTGCTGCTGTTGTCGGTGGCTACGAATAGGCTGTCATCCGTAGAATGGTACTACACATTTATCATTTAAGTTCTTTTTTATTTGTATTGATTTCTTCTATTTGATATTTGTTTCTTTTTGTTTTGTTTGTACAATTTATTTGTACAGATAGTAGATTTACGTACATTTAGGTTAATTGAATTAGCCTTTGTCAGCTTTTGTTACTTTTGTTAGGATTTACTTAGAGATAAAGCAAAGCTACTTTGGCATAAAAACAATTAGCTAGTTGGATGTGTTGACAGATATGCCAAATATTGTTATGCCAAATATTGTTTACTTCAATTCATTCGAGAAGTATCGCTAGTTACCTAACACCGTTTGAGCCGGGAGCTAGACGATATTCTAAAATCAGGCCTGTTCCATGATCTGATATAGCAGTTCCACAACTTGGCGAAAAAAAAAAGTGAAAGATTAGTTTCTGGGAGATTCCGCTTGTCGAAGGCAAGGAAGATTACATTACTCGCATGTTGCTAAATGGAATATGCTTACTTATTAATATTGTCAGACATGGGCTCCTGTGTCAGATATGTATCGGCGATCAAGTGAAGAGGTCTTGATTGGAACTAGTTTCGTAAATCGCGTTAGCCATATTTGTGTGCCGAAATTAAACGCAAATCAGGTTTTACCTGAATAAGGTACTGAAAAAGTAGTTCAATTATTATCAAAATTTTCCAATGAAAGCATTGTTCCCTCTAATATTTGTCCAAAAGAGGGCCTTGAATGGGAGGGTTTTTGTCCTACTCAGGGAAGGTTTATCGGTTCCTTGTTTTTTTTTTTCCCGAAACGGGGTTAAAGTCAGTAAGAAGCCCTTAACGCCATTCCTTTTCCTAAAAATTGATCAGTTACTCCCAAACTACCCATCTCCGGGCAAAATCTTTGAAGGACTCATCATGACATAATAAACTTACATGTTCTTCAGTGTTTGCAAAGTCTGCGTTGATATGACGTCCAAAGTATTCAGTGCTGGAAGATTTAACTTTTGCAATCGACCTTGAGCTCTCAGTGATAAACGAAGCCGGAATGCTTTCAGGACCATTTCAATTATACTTTTGAGGCGTGTTTGCTTCTGCACGTGGGTTTGTTTAGGTGGCAGCTCTAGCCTAGAGTAGCCCACAACTAGTTACAATCTGTTCGTATGTACTTCACTGAGGAGACGCGTACTGCCGGATTACCAAATATTTAAACTCAAACACACAGGTACAGGCGCGTAACGTGGTCATTTTTTCAAGTAAGCACAAGTACATATGATCTAGAAACCTATGTAAACTGAGCGAAAAATACTGCGTTCTTTATTTCTTGTTTGAAATAGTTGTGTGACTGCAAGCAAAGAACAAAGCGTCTTGCCCTTATTTTGAGCAAACTTGGCGCAAACACAACATTGTTTTTAAATTTTTCTGGTCTTTTCAAGTACGCACGTGCGTATATGTGTAGAGGACGCTACGCGCCTGAGGTAACTTATTGACGCAAGTTGAAGTTTACACTTGCTTATTATGGTCGCGAATATACCCTAATACCCTAATGTCCTTACACTCGAACAAAAACTCAAAATCTCCGAGAGATCATTTCTCCTGAAAATCAAGAGCAGGTTTTTAAAATTGTATATTATTTCATACTTAAGAGATGATATCAAAAGAAGAAAATGCCTTTTTATGAAATATTACGAAACGTCTGTGAGACACCTGGCGAATGTCGCAAATTTCGTAGTCTCCCTCGCAGCCGTTTTTTCGGATGTCACGCAACGCTCCCCAAAAAAGTTCCTTTTGGGGGAGCGTTGCGTGACATCCGAAAAAACGGCTGCGAGGGAGACTACAAATTTCGGGACGTGAGTGCTTCTCTCGAAAAATATAGTTTAATTTAAAATCAAAAGTTGTCAAGACCTGGTGCCGAGGTAGTTAGCAAACGTTACATCCGAAAAATCGATCGAATTTGCAACGAATTTCTGGATGTTTTCTCATTTTGGCATTAGTATTGATGTAATCATGAAAAGAATGGCAAGGCTTTAGTGATTGATTCGATGTGTAGGCACCTTAGACCCCCACTGAGCATCGAAGGAATGGGAAAAAAAAAAAAACACGTGCCTTTCGCCCTGATCTACGCAGGCTCAGTATTCGTGATAAGTAAACAACTCCTCAAATTAAATACTGAGTCAACTCTTCGACCGTTGACTTCAGAACACTTGCGTGGAAAACAAGATCATAGATTCTCAACTGAGTTTAGCATGGGTCATTCTAGGGCCAAAAGTCTGAGTGTAACTGAGTATAACTCGGTCACCAAAAAAACCAAAGGCCAACTGGGCATTAAAAATAACGACATATTGAATTGAACTAACCTGATGATCCCCTTTTGCTCCACAGCATTATACTGCCAGCCATTAAAGTAACCAGAATGACAGAAGTGGCAATCCAAAGAGCAGTAGAAGACTTCGCCATGACATAGAGGTCGTGGATGTTGAATTTGAACACCAGAACGAAAGACGATCTTCACCGATGAAAGCTGGTCCGTGAGAAGTTTAGGTTTCACTTGTTCCACTGTAAATAATATTTTACGATCCGTATATAATACAGCTAACTGTAATAACCGGTTATGATGGATGGGATACATTCAGTATCGACGGACTCATGGCGATGAAAAGTAAGCCTACAGCTAATTACATTATATTAAGACGCTACGACCAATTTGAGCATGGACGATAACAATCTTTAGTTTTTCTCAACTTCTATCTTTTCCATCGAGCTGAAGAAACTTTCTCTCAAGTTCGATTAGTATATTTTTAGAACGTTTCAGTCAACAGCCGTCTTCGGTATGGTGGACAAGACACATGATGTTTCAATCAAATCCCGCATCTTATCAACAACTCTGCGTAATACCACTCCGGCGTGCACCTATTGAAGAACTATTAGCACAGCAACCGACAAGAGTTGACGGGGAATAAGAGCGGTAAGAGGGCAAATAATTGCGCGAAGGAAATTCGTGCCCAGCGGGAACCCCAGAAAAAATGCCCGGACTGGTCTTCCAAGCTGAATAAATAGATGGAAAAGAAAAACCGTGTGAAAATGTTTGGGTCGATATTTTAAAACGTTTTTCACCCGATACCCTTAGCTGGCGTTTTGTAATGTCAACTTAATAAGATCATCCACATACATTAGATTGATTAACTTAACCAGAATTATAACGACTAGCACAGCTGTGTCGTGTATACCATTTAATCAAAGAAAAAAATCTATGAACATAACTTCTTCTCAGGAATTAAAGAACAAATGAATAAAAGAATCTCAGTAAAGCAAGTGTTAATTAAGTTTAAGGTCAGAAGCGCGTTCCACGTGAAGTTCGAGAATCGCAATGCCTCGCTTACTTCGCGTAAAGAGAAACCAGAATAAGCTACTGCATGTATTCAACGAAATCAACCTGCGATGCCCCAATCGCTTTGCTTAACTGGCGAGCTCCTGAATTCACGCAAATCTGTCTCCTCGGTTCTCTTATGTTGACTTAATCAACCCACAAACACAAAAATTACTTAAAATGAATTGACTAAATTATTTTAATATTTAAGGCACAGATACTTTTTATATGTCATCAATGAACGACAAACCGGCCACATTTGGTCTAAATCGTCAAAACAACAGATTATTTTAGTGCAGTTCATTTTAACGTTAAGGCCAGGACCTACATTCGATGCCCTTGTGGATGCCCCTATAGCGGACGCTATCATTTTGACCTTACTGTTTTTAGTGGTTAGGGTGCTGGACTTGAAATCCGGTGGCCCGGGTTCAATTCCTCCACGCTGCCACTCACTGGATTTGTTCTCGGTTGCCCCTAGTTCAACTCTTCGGCTGCGCTCTGTAAATAGCCCACTGGTCGCCTCCTGCCAGTGGAGATTTTTAAGCACTTAGTTAAAACTACATTGTGGCTGAAAAGCCCCTATGGGGAAGCCTCAATTAACGTATATTATATCATTATCATTATTATATTTTCAATCGGCTGAAAAAGCGAAAGCACACATTTTCGGGTTCCACATTCAAAGGAAAATCTACTATAAAACATTTTTAAGTCCCCTTCCGCTCGAATATCCATTGTAAAACTTCAAATGAATGGCGGTTGTAAACTCCGGTCAACTGAGGGCCAGATTTTAGTTTATCGTTACGAAACACACACATTTGGAGCCCTATTTAAACTTCTCTATTGCGTTCAAAATCTTGGGGTACACAATTTGTGCTGCGTCTATCCCATACAGAAAGTCCAGGTGATTCCAGCCGGGAATAACTTCTTAATGTATTAAGTTAGAAATTTGCGGCTTGAGTGCTGCCGCGTCCGCTGGGTCACCAAGAACATCATTGGCCCCCACAAACAGCACAGTCGGGGTAGTCATGTCTTGCACGTCATAGAGAGGAGCGGTGGCCTGGATAGAGAAGAGAGAAACGCCAAAACTGATGACAAAACATAGAAAACGCGCCGTCTCCTCATCAACCATCTTCTCAAACAGCCGAAATTTTTGTGATTCTTTTTATCCAAAGAAACTTCAACGCTAGCCCTTGTAGACTCAGAACGCTCTGAAAACAGTTTGCACGAGACACTAGCAAGGCGCCAAATGTTTCGGAATACGAATTTCGACTGACGTTTATTTTGTTCACAGTTAATCGAGAATAACAAAACTATGTTTTGTTATTCTGTTTAAAACTGAAATCAACCCTAAGTAACATGAACACAAACTCAAAATAGGATAATGAGTTACCTGATTGTAATGTTTCATGTTTCCAGCTTCACCGTAATCAAACTTCTGACACTTTTTGTTCACAATCAACTACAGACGTAAATAGAAGTAAAGTAGAATTGAGTTAAAAAGCTCTTGTTTGCATTTGAGGAGAGATGTATTTGTTTCAAATTTAATGTATTAGACTAAGCTGTAAAAAAGTGTTACATTCGACCTTAAACTTTGGATGAAAGTTTCCATTGTTTTAAACGAAGATATAGTTTTGGACAACTCGTGCATCGTATAATGTCAATGATGAAAAGTTCAAAATCCTTAACAAACCCATCAAGTACGGATTATACACTCACCATATTGTTAACCTGGAAAATAAGAGCATTAGGCCGGTGGGG